ACCCTAAAACAAATCTCTAAGCGTATAATACTGAAGGAATGAAGCTAGTGGCAGACGTGAAAATTTATGAGTGAGAAAGAGATTAATTTTATCGATCAAGGGATTAGTTGCGCTCTATAATATGTAGGTAAAATTCAATGGAAGCTTAGAAAATTCATCTATAAGTATAGCGAGTAGGTAAATCTACAGGAAACGTCTTATAAGGAAAACATTGTATTTAACTGTAGCATCTATTCCAACTTTGAGATTACCGAGACACGATTACTTTAGAACCATTTTTACGAGCAGTTGTACGGTGCAACTACATTTTCAACAAGCTGCTTCATTCGAATCGATATTTCCACTGGGCACACACAAAAACATTTTTTGTTCTTTTTGCATTTTTATTTTCCAGATTAACCTAATGCGTCTACATTTGTATACCGCGCGTTTCCTGTTTAAAGCCATTTATTGGTTTTATTTTAATAATGCGGCAACAATGTACTCCTATAAGGTTAGTTAATCTTTGATAAATATTGGTACTACCTACGGTTGCTAGTATAAATGATTTTTTTGTAAGTACGAGTAGTAATACAGGATGTTCTCGAAGTTATGGCACTAAATTCTAGGGGTGGTCGTTTGCATAATTCGAGAGCGACTCGCAGATTTCATTTTTATAAAAAAATTATAATAAACAAAATTTGAAATATTAAAAATATTTTAAAGAAATGCGGTCCTGTACATCGGTTGAAACCGTAAAAAAAAGTAAACCGCGTTTTTCAAACAATAGAAAATAAACTTTAAACTTGAAAGGAATATTAGCTCACCTATTTTGTTGTTAAAGTGAAGTTGAAGTTCATAGTGATTGTTTATTAATAATCCCATTGAACGCGTGTAGCACTACGAATATTGCAATTATTCTTTCCAGAAAATCACTATAACGAACAAGAACTAAAACTAAACCAGGAAGAACACTAAGAACTAAAACAAACAAATCACTAAAGTCTAATCTAATCACAAAAATCCATTTAACCCCGATGTTATAAACAAAACAATACAATTCGCACTAGAAAACAATCGGTACATAAAGAAATATAGAGTGGCAAAAGCATACGGATGCGCGTGAAAATAATGGAACAAATTGAATTTGACAGATTTGACAATTTTGACATTGTCATGTCATTTAAGGTAGAAAAGTCAATGAGAATAATGAGATAGCTAATTGAACTTTTGTTATGTAAGGAATAAAGAGAGCAAATAGTCATGCCCGGTATTCGCACGAAGCGAAGCGAATTCTAAGATCGCCTAAAAGTAGTGGATTTCCGTTACTTCTGGCAACGCTGTGTTTAAATTCCGCTACTTCTGGCAACACTGGTATCTACCTTAAATGACAAGTGACAGTATGCGCAAAATTCAATTTGTGTCATCTACGAATACACGCTTTTTCCACTCTATATTCTCTATGAATCGGTATCGGTAACGTTTTTCGAAAGCTGGAGGACGGAGGGGGAAATTTGCACTTGCTGATAAATACACCACATCTGTTTTTAATTTAAAATTCCGGTCAACTGACTATTGCGGCCAGGGTTGTATTCGCTCTTTGCATTTATTTCTAATGGCTCTATTTTGATTCAAACTACCATTCCTAGAATTTAGTGCCATAAGTTCAAGAACACCCTGTACCTTCATCGATATTCACAGAAAAAAATAATGATTTTATATCAACGAATTTAGCGAGAAATGTTCCCGCCTGGGTTCCTGTAATGGTCCTATTAAATTGTAAAACCGTCGGAAGTAGTCTCGAAGAAATGCCACCGGCTGGAATGAAGAACTTAATTACTTTTCAAGGAAAATAGTTCTGTTGAAGCGCCGCGATTGAATGTCTGGTTTACGCCTAGAAGTGAATGTAGGCGAGATCCCAAATATTTGCCTTAGTTGTTACGTAAATCTACGTGATATTTGAAAGCCTTCTAACAGTAATGAAAATTTCTGATTTATTAATCGATACCTATACCCAATGAAAATATTAACATCATGAATTAGATGCTCCTGCTTTCTGTAGTCAATATATCAGCTATTCATAAATATTTATTGAAAAGTATATTTTCTGATACGTAAGGTGCCGGAAAAAAATAGCACATATACATTACTTGAAGAAATCCGACACATTCCACATTTTTAATACTTAATAGGAGAAACTTTAAACTATTAACATAATTTTGTTGTCACTTTTATACAAAAATTCAGATCTGGAAGAGAAAGAGCCTTTCCGGGAACGATCGGAACATTCATCACAAAGTATTTGAAACATTTCAAACAACTTGGCCAACTCTAATATTTCACGAAACGAATTTGTCGCATTTATAAATTTATCTCGTTCGGAGTTTTTCATTTAGTGTCGGGTTAAATGAAAAATGATAATAAGAAAATTAATAACGAGGAAGTTGAAACGATATGTTTTTCCAGTTCAAATTTACGCAAAAAGCTTCGATGTTTTAGTGCATTTTTTAATTACGAAATATAACAGATTAAAGTTGATAATAAAAAGAACAGTTTCGTATAACAAATTTGTAATACCTAGTATAATGATTTGAAAATCGTCAGGTACTCAAATTGCTTCTAATGCAAAATATTTCCATTTGGAGTTTTTTTCATTAAGTCCCTAGTTAATGACATAAAAAACCAGTTTAGCGTCGATTAGTTTTTTAAGAAAATGAGAAATGCGAAAGCCGCTTTAAACTCGGTTTAAATTTTTTACGCGTTTGGCTTTCTCTCTTACCCGTTTTATGTTAAAATCGATAAAATAGGACGGAAAACAGTAGACGAGATGAAGTTGCAGATTTTATTGAAACATATTGTTGTGTAGTATTTATTGTGCAACCTTTTACAATCTGCACTAATACTCATAAGTTTCTCAAATCATTATTTGTTTTTCTTGAAAAAATATACAATATGAAAGATAATTTAAAAAAATGGTGTGAATGTATAACACATTCGCCAAATTTTAAAAACTTTAAATTACGTATCAAATTGAATAGTCATCATGTTTAAAATATTTATTTTTTTAACCGAATCATAGAACAGAAAATGAGACAAATACTACTATAAAGTATAATTAATTGCTGATTACCATTAAATAGTTTTCCTCTCCAATTTTTAATTAAAAAAAAGGACGAAAAACTTTTTAAGTCAACGCTTTCGTAGGTCTCTTGGTCACGGCTAAATTGCTGATCGGGACTGCATTATGTATGAGGTGCAGCTCGAAAAAAATATTAAAAATTTCCGAGTTTCGGAACGGCCAGTCGCAATCGCGGCTGGCACACACGGAAAACTTTATTCATAAAATGAAATTCGGGATTCGTTCCAAATACAAAATATCACATCGGCTGTTTTCTAAGGACAAACGGCGAACCTGAATTATTGATGGAAAAGTTTCAATCGTCGAGGGTGAATTCGCGACCATTGGAATATTTTGCCGAAACGGAATTTCATTTAGATCATTGAGTATACTACGAAAAGCGAAAATTGAGTCCTTACATCAAGGCAAGAGGTCGTAGTATTTTCCGCTAGAAACTCGATTACAAATTTCGAAGGTGGGAATTTTGTTGGCCTAAAATTGTTCGATTTTAAAACCGATGATTTAGGTTTTACTATAAAAATAAGGTAACATAAACATTTTAACAAGCACGAAATCATAACTCTCTAATAAACAAATACATGCTCATTCATCTAAACATTTCATTATTTATAAATCAACCACCTGAATAGAGCATAATTATTAATTACATACATACCTGCGTTTACATTAATATAGAACAGTTAGAATTCCTATCTTAAATTTAAATTCAGCGTATACAATCGTTAAATAGTAAATTGGGTGATGTTTTCGTTGGAATTTTAAATAAAACAATTTTGCATGAAATTCTGTAAATGCCTAACTACAAATTTAACAACAAAAAATTGAAAATGAAACAGAATGGTTTGTTTGAATTAATATTGTTTTATAAGTTTTTTAAATCTTTTTAAACCCACTAAGAAAATTTATTGACTTCCTACATAAATAAAAACTGTTCGAATAATTCCAAGTTCGCGGAACAAACACGAAGCAAAAAGTGGAAAACTTTTTAATTATCCGTTTCCCATTTCTTTTATTGCACATTACAGCAATTAGGTAAGAAGTTCCACTCGAATAATAAAAGAAATTTCTAATTTCCCCGTGCGTTAATTAAATCTAACATACGCCTTCCTCTCAGATAGGGAGGTAATAGATTTTAGTGTTTAAATTCAATAATAATTACGTTTAGTTCCTCCCGTTGGGCGTCATCTGTGAACATTTGTTTGAAACCACATTGTCACTTCATTCCGAATAACATCAGTACCGTCACTAACAGAGGGTTTTTAACAGGATGGCAGGATTTATCGTCGTCAAACATTTAATTACAAATAAACCGGACATTAATCTAAGATACTCGTGTGATTAGAATTGCGCTAATTCAACTGACACTAAGTCCACTAATAAATATTCTAAATAGTGGTAGAAAAATGAATGTACGTACTGTTAACTGTACCCCAATTAGTAAATTCTCCCTCCCTGGGCTGCGTATTAATGAAACTAATAGCCAACTCTTTAATCAGCCGAAACGCCCCTGACGGAAGGAGCAATTACAATCCTATAATTACAAAGTTTCCGAACTAACACTTCAACACTTCTCATCGAACCCGATTCGTAATTGTCATCATAAAGGGCTATAGCATAGTCAGATTTACCTCGACTTAGACTGTGACTGCGTTAAGCCTTATTGCAAAATTCGCGGAATCGATTCCAATAGGATGACCAACGCGATTAACGTAACATAACATAATTTTACGGCTATGATTTTGTATATTTGCGATGAATTTACACGGGTGATTAGCTTTAATCGAGGGCTAACCATTGGGGTTTAATTAACAGACGATTTGAATGAGCTCAATTGGGAAATTTCTATTACACAGATAATTATTGCTGTTTTCCTTTATTCCAGGGAGATGGCCGTTTAGTTTCGTTTGGTGTAACGTGTACGTAACGTGTGATGTATTAGCGTGTTCTGCGTCTATAATGCACATGTGTTTCATAAGTCTCGGTAGATATTTAGGCATCAGGAATCCCTTAAAAACGAGACACAGCACCACAACTAAAACAGTAATATTCAAAATAGCCTTGGTGTGGCTACTATCCATGCTAGTGTCAAGTTCGATTACTGTATTAGGTAAGATTTTTACTATACAACTACATATTAGCATTATACGTAACTGTGTTGTATTTACAGGTATAATACACCCTCAAAACATCATGCCTGATTCTAACACGTGCGTAATCAACAACAGGGCGTTTTTCGTGTTCGGATCGCTGATTGCCTTCTACATACCGATGGTGATAATGGTGGTGACGTATGCGCTGACTGTACAGCTGCTGCGGAAAAAGGCCCGGTTCGCAGCCGAACATCCCGAAAATGAACAATTCAGAAGATTGGGCGGAAGATTCGGGCCGAAACACGAACGGACTCCCACGATATCGGGGACCCTGTGGAGGACTGCAGGGAGTGGCGAGAGGTAATTCAAAATTTATTTCTCGGAGTAAGATACTGGTGAATTTATACACGTAAGGTACCTACCGCATCAATTTAATTATTCAATAACTCACACTGCGTGTCAAAGTCCATCTAGAATTGTTACAATAGAAACATGTTAAGTGCAGGTGATTTAATTCTGTACAATAAGTTTCCTCCTTTCCTGACACTGGTTTCCATTATAGTTTCCCTAATGCTAAGCACGATGCTCTAACACTGCCATTTAGGACCTCCTTCATTTAATTTAAATAACGAGAGTGTTGCGAATTTCATTAAACTTATATCAAGCGTACATTATTTTAAATTTGCCGTGTAATTACATCCTAACGCTGGTTACTTAACGCAGTTCATCCACAATTATTTTTCTTTCGTGAATTTATGTTTCCTTCCAAAATGAATTATTATATTCGCACTAATCGTATTCAAAACATTTTCATTAAAATCGACAAATTGCACAGCGTTTAATTAATTTAGTTTGTTAATCGTTTGCAACAATCGCCGTGTCGACAATTATATTGACCTAATAATAATGCATCATTAAATCGAATTTAGTTATAAGTAGATAATTGTAATAATTTATAATTCGGAACTTTGACTGTATTAGTGTAAGTAATAGATACAATTATACGAGCTACCGTTGAACCGCATTGAGTAAACGTTAGTTGAAATTTGCTGCAATTAAAAGTTGAATTAACATTACTGGAACTATACCGAGTTTCCAAGTCGGAGCGCTGCAATCTGTAGAAAGAGAGAGTCAATCGAACTGAGGAGAGGCGCGGCTTGGGCGCGATGAATCGGCGGACGAATGCAGCGCTCGACCTTGGACGCTTGGTATATTAGCAAAAAATGTTTCAGATCGTCCAGCAATTTACGTTTGACCTCGTCACAATCTCAGTTTCCTTACGTAAACGGGGGAAGCGGAGCCGGCCAAGTGTCCATGTCGACGGAGTGCAGGGATCAAAGCACTCAAACACCAGAAAATATCGTTAAGGAAACCAGAAATTCCAAGCTAAAGTCACTCAAGCTTCAACTCAATCATACTAGCTCAAATTTGACGAATTTTCGGTAAGCTATTTCAAATGCATGTCTTAACTAATAGGAAAATGGGTAGTTTAGAGTCGATTAGTATGCTTGCAAAACAGAGTGCTTATTCCTAAATAAGTAACAGTTACAAAGTCTTTTAGTTTAGCATACTGTAGGTACACACATGCGATCCAAATGCCCCTAATGGATAAAGCAGATACCATTCGAAAAGTTCAGAGCCCGTCTATTGAATTGTCACTTTTGTTTTGGGATATATAAACTTGCTGAAATGTTTTTCCTGTCAATCGATGATAAAAGTACTTTTAGTTTTACATTATTCTGCAATCCATCAAAATACTGCCTTTCAGACATTTTGACTGATGCTTCTTGAATAGAAAAATTTTTCGAGTACAATTATTTTTAAACAAACACTGCAACAAATTTAAACTGCAGGATAATAAACGACCTTCTAAAACGACCCCGAAACCAGTCCCGCGAATTAATTTCTCGTTGAGAAATAACAATGCGACTTTTCAAACTTCACGGCACTCGTCCCATAAAGAACTCAAATCGGGATTCTTTCTTGACTGGCGGAACATCGTGAAACATTATCTCGCGAAATTGCTTGATCCTTGAGAGCGCCGTCGGAAAGTCTTTAGCGCGCCAGGAGAGCGAATCTACATTACCTCGCCACCATTAAACCATGCCAACAAGGACGTGATGTTGCAATTAATCCGTGCTCCGGGATTCCGATCCGAAGGCGAATCCGGACACGTCGTAAATATATCAGTTCGCATAGCCGATTGATTTATAGAAAATTAAACATACTGGTATAAGCATTTATTTTTACAAGTATATTATTTGAACCATCCTCGTCTGTGACATTCCTTTACCATGTACCAAATTTTTTCTCTCGCTTCGTCAGTTGCTGCCGAATACAATTCTTCTATGGTAGGGAGTCTGTCCGGGTTGAAACCGCCCTTGGGTCCGTGAATGGCGATGATAGTGAAGTAGGCAGCGTGGATTATTTGAAAGGGTGTTATGTTTTCGATTTCGTCCAGGAAAGCTTGGAATGAAAAGGGTGCGGTATCGATTCCGTAAAGTTGCAGGGTGCCAATTAAATTGTCGTGGTAGTATTTTATGAAGTGATCCAGGTGCGTTTTAATAAGAGGTAGAGGAATGCTGGTCCATATATAAAAGAACAAATCGGCGGCTGGTGATGCGTGCGTTATGAGTTGGAAATCCACTAGTTTATTTGATACTGGTTTTCCGTTTTCGAATTTTTGCATTGTATTGTTCGTCCATAGATCGTCGTGAACCAAAGTACTAAAAGGTTCCTTGGGAGACGAATAGTCGACTTCATTCCAACCTTTTATTTTCGATAAAATCTCCTTGGTTTCTTCGTTTTTGTTAACAGTAATCCCAAATAGATCTATAGCCGTCGAAAAAATGCTTCCTTTTTTGAAGAAGTTGTTGCAATACGGAAGAATATTTCTCTTAAAGAGATCAGGTTTCTTTATTTTTAAGGCTAGCGACACACCGTGAAACTGGACTAGGCTTCTTAGGACCATTTGAGCTGTATCGATATCGAACCCTTTGCGCTTGTCGATATTAATGAAACCTAAAGAGTTAAATGGTTACAAACCATGATACTATTTAAAAAAATATTAATAGCTAATTAAAATAGCATCAATAGCTTACCTGTTGATATTAAATTTTCCAGAAGCAACACTGCATCGTCGTCTATTTTATCGTCATTGCCCAGCAAGTTTTTCCTAACCGAGTAACATTTGGCGAAATGATCTTCGATTAAGTTTATTCGTATCCCATGTTCTTCCTGTAACTCCTTTAGCGTAGGAATTATAATTTTGTAAAAAGCCATCTCGTTTGTGTAGGTCGTTTGAATTTCAAACATCTCCCTTATGTGTTCTGCTTTAGGTAATACCTTAGCAATGACATGCAGCAATTCTTCATTTTCGTCATTTTTGTGTTTGACAGTGATGTCCAATCCGTAGATAATGCTGCCTAAATTTTCGCCTGGCTGCGATAATTTCTTGATTTTAACATCATGGATCGTTTTAGTTTCTCCTAAGTAGTTACTTAGTAAAGCATCTAAATTTTTGATTTCACCACAACTCCAAGTCATCTTTGCAGAAATACTAAAGGGCTCTCACCTTAAATAGTTTAAAGCATTTTTTATCATTTTAAATACATAGGTACCAGTTATTTTTTATTATTAAACAATTTGGGAAAATTATTATTTATTTACAAATTGTTTGTTCATAAATTTATTTCTGTTTTAAAAATTGATTAAAAATTTATTCTACGCTACAAATTAAAAATATTTGATCTCTATAAGTAAATAAATTGCATACCAGTAAAATTAATAAAGTTTAGCAAACATATGGAAAAAAAGTTTATATAATATTTTATCTGATTTCTGATTTAAATATTGTGTACTTTAACGAACCTTGTACTTTTTGAAGAGAAACAGTGTTGTATATTTTATATCAAAACAACTACTAGCTTGACGATTAACGAAATTACACGTTAAGTAGTTTGAAATTATTTTATACTAAGTTATAATCTCTTATCAATTCTCACCTATCTATGAAAATAATTAAAACCCCCGTAAACACATTCACGTTCCAAAAATAGTAAAAGTAACTACGTTACCAAACGTAGGATTCTTGTTATATCAACAAATACATAAATCCACGTTTAAATAAGCGATAAATGTCGCGGTAAATAACGTTTTTGCATAGTTGAAACCTCAACGTACCCTTACGAAACCTTATATGTACCAAAAACGTATACACATTTCTAGTTAAAAATTGGATAACAATACTACTTATACAAAACGTTGACTATTTATCCTTATTATAACGTTGGTAAATATGTATATAGTATCTAACAATAAGGTTTATAATATAATATTGTAATACTTACGTATATGGTTGCGGATAATGCAGGTATGCAGATAATATTCGCATAAACAAGGTTGGGTAAAAATAACGTTTTTAAGATACTTATGTATATATACATACATACACTGTGCTTCATTTCAGATCGCAACATAGGTTATATAGGCAATGGGTGCGATAAAGACAACTTCCATTAGACACTTATAAAGGAAAAGGAAAGAATGACATTTGTGTCATTGCAACTTTTCACTCTGACAACTGTCATTTTAATAATTTTTCTTTGTTCCACTCATAGAAATGACTATGTTGCAATAGGAAATGGAGCAAGGTTTATGTATAGGTTATAGATGCGATAAAGACAACTTCAATTAGACACTTATAAAGGAAACAGAAAGGGTGAAATTTGTGTCAGCAGCTTTTCACTGTGATAACTGTAATTTTATTAATTTTTCTTGTTCAACTCATAGAAACGACCATGTTGCGGTCTGAATTGAAGCAATTGGTATGTATGTACGTTGACAAATTCAACTAAAAACGTTGAATCAACAAATCATACCATTTTGTCACGTTTATTCGTTTATTCTACGTGTAGGTGTTTATTGGGAAACAATTACATTGTTTGCCTTATTTCAAAGGAATCTACCTAACATAATTTATCTACCTAATATAAATTAATACACAATAAAATTGGCGTAAATTGATAAGGTCCGTTATTATAATTAAATTCTTTTAATGTTTAACATTAGTACCCTTAATTACTTACTTAAAATTATTAGCATTAAATTTGTCTAATCCAGATTATACTCTTGCTTTATTACAAAATATAATAAAACACAGATAAATTCTGCTTGCGTTATTACATTATGCTTTCTCTTTGAACCAAACAGCGCTTAATTAGGTAAAATTCACCAGGCAAACCGATTAAAAAGCCATCTTATTTCCTTCCTTTCGCTGAAACGGCTTTTTTTCGATTTTTCACTCTACACAAAAAACGACTTTCTAGACAAACACGCAAATGTATTTCTCCAACTACCTAATTAACCCTTTCATTTCAACCGAAACCGTCTTCATTCGTATTGATCGCAATAATTTATTTTCCAGATTGTTAGCCAGCCGGGTAAAACGAAAACATATATCCGCCAACGCGGTAGCCACAGAACAAAAAGCTTCTAAAGTGCTGGGCATCGTATTTTTCACGTTCGTCCTTTGCTGGTCGCCGTTCTTCATCCTCAACATATTCTTCGCCGTGTGTCCCGATTGCGAGGTGCCCAAGGACGTCGTCGTGGTGTGTCTTTGGCTGGGATACGTCAGCTCCACGATCAATCCCATCATTTACACGGTATTTAATAAGACATTCAGAGGAGCATTCATCAGGTTGTTGCTATGCCGCTGTCGTAGGTATGTCATTATATCGCCTTTTGCCACCAGCGGAAGATTTTCTTCGAACAGTTACTCTTAGCGACTTTACAGTTTTTTGTAAGTTTGGCGTGCTTCATTTGAGATTTTTCGAGACTAACACACTAATAACGCATTTTATTTATTTATTTTTTAATTAAAAAAGTGGTATTGTTTTTTGAAGTCGTTAATAACACAGATTGTAGTCGTCGGCGGAATTGAGGAAATAGCTGATGCGAGTACAATTCCCGCAATAATATCCCGACATATGAAAAATATTCCACATATCTCACGGGATAAGTGATTAATGGCCGTTGGCAAGATTCCAGTTTTATTATCGGCAATTAGGTATCTGGTACGATTTTGAGGAAAAAGTGCCTCGGTATGAGATATGATGGTAGTTTTTTTGCACAAGCCAATTCGATTATCTTTCCCCAAGGTGTTGCAGACTCGGAATTGTTAAAAAGCCTTTCGTTAGTAGCTATTAAATTTCTATAGGTAACTAATCGATATTTTCATTACCTTTCATCTTATGAAAGAGGAGATAATTTCGTTATACGTGTCTACTTGAACGATGGTTATATCTTCAATTGTAATAAAAAGCATTTTATGCTGCGAATATCATTTTGGAAAACCGTAGAAATCCATTAGCTTGAAAGCTGCGAGAATGGTCTAGAAACGAAACGATCCAACTATAATAGTTTTAAAAAACATTAAAAATTGCAATTAGCGCTACGAAAATTGATGCTAATCAGAAATAATATAAAAAAACGTTCAATTGCATTTTGAAAACTGTAGTTGGCAGCGTTATTGTTTAAACGGGTTTCTAGAACGTTTTAATTTTGTATTTCTTAATAGAGTCTAGCCGAAAAACTTTAACATGTTCATCAACGTCAGTTTTAAAAAGTTTTAAAAGAAAATTACACCTCAACTTCCGTAGCTCCTCTTTTAGTTAACAAAGTTTTATTTCCGTCGAATTTATTAGCGGGCGATAAAACCCTACTAATTTTTCCTCTCCCGCGATCTTCAAATCATTCAAAAGATTTCCATCGATAATGGATTTCACCAATTTTACGGAGAATTTCGCATTAGCTCGCTGTAATTACCGGTAAATTACCCATTCACTCCTGCTAGTTGATTATAAAATTATTACTTCCCCGTATGGAAATAACGTTGCATACATCACATTATTCCAAGTGCCACCACCGACGGCGCCTCGAGTGTTATTAACGTCAGATTTTTCCAACTTTTCCAGGCTATCCAGGCCGGTGCGTTACAGATCGGTGAACGAGAACCGAACCGCGACAGCGACCAGCCTCTGCACGCCGACGGCCCTTCCTCTGGCCATCAGCCTGCAGGGGACTCCCCTGCTGACGCCGGCTTCGACGGAGAGCTCTTATGTCATCCGAACACCATCCTCCAACTTTTTGAAAGAACGCGCTGACTCTTACGAGGACCACAACTGTTAGAACGCATCCTGCGGTGGTTCATTATTTTCCAGCCGTCAGCGGCGCGACCGAAACGGGAAATAATTTTTCCGATAATTGTCCGCTATGCGTGCGATCAATTAAATTGTAACGGCATTCGAACATGTATGTCACTCGATAATGGGTCGTAAATGTACATTCCGTTGATTTAGGGCTTATTTTTTTGGCACTGACGCCTTTAATGAAATTTTTATTGCCTTGATAACAATATAATAAAGCATAAACTAACTGTAATTAAAGAATCCGAGGGTGTAATAAACGAAGAATCAAATTTAATAATACAATAAAAAAATGAGCAAATATTTTATTTAATGGTAACTATTGCGTTCAATTTAAATTAATTTTTATGAATTGTCCGTTGGAAACGCTACTGGGTGAGTCGGTTTCAACGGGTTCACCAGTTTGAGATCCAACAAAGAGGCCCTAAGCATTGTCATAAATCTGAATGAGAATTGTTGTTTGTGCTAGTTAATTCTTCTTTGATGATGTAATTTTGTATATTATGGGGACGAGTTTGTATTTATTGAGCGATGTTTGTGTGAAACAAAATTTCCGAACCAATAGGCAAAAATAAATGTCAATGTTTCTTTGAAACGAATTAGTATGGATTAGAGGGAAATGTTGTGGTTAAGTACAAAATATACCTAGTACAAACTAATTTGTTAATATTGAGTGTTTTTTTTTGTAAGTACAAAGATTTGTTTTTTAATTTATTTTTTAAGTTAGTAGAATTTCGGTTTTAATTGTTTTTGTTTTTGTGCTGTGGTTCATACGCAAGACTGATTTATCATTTAAGTCATTTAATGGAAAACTGTTATGCAAAGAATTGTCGACATTTAAATTATTTTTGCCGAAGAGTTCTTGGTTGTACACAACAGGAAATTCACATGTAAATACGATATTTGGCGTATTTTAAAAAGCGTAGATATTGTAAGTGCATAAATATTGTAGTATTGTTGTAGTATTAATATTATTATTGAGATTTTAGAGTATTTTGTCCTATCACTGAATATATTAGTCAAATATTCGGTGTGTAGAATAAACCTGTAGATTATAAATAATTGTTAATAATATCCACCAACTATTCATTTCTTTAATTTATTGTATATTTAAAATTTCATGTTTCTCTTTAAAATTTCCTCCTTTCTCAATGTATCCTTGTCCCCTTATTCCATTAATCTATCATCGTATTACAGATACATTTTCTATAACTGCTATCAATCAAAAAACGATAACTAAGATAATAATAGTAAACTTTAAATAATTTTATTACGTGTATAAAATTATTGTCATTTAAGAGTAACTTATTCTTTATTACGTGACAATCGTTTATTAAATAAGATGATACGAATTTGTCTATTACCTACATAAGTATTTCATCCTTGTAAATAAAATTGGTATATTTTCAATTAAGCCTATTCTAGTCAATGCAACAAAGGCATAGAATGTAGATATCTATAATATTTTTAATCGCAAATATTTTTTTATTTTTAAAAAACACTTTATAGAGAATTTCAAATTGTTGGTTAAGGTACACCTACTTCTATTCTATATAAAATAAATAAAGAGCTATTTTAGTCAAACTATAGTAATTAAGTTTAACAAAATTAATTTTTCCTAAATATTTTTATCCTAGAATAATGACAATTATTTTTGTGATCAAAACAATTCTACAAAAGCTCTGTATTTTTAATATCATATCTATGAAGTTAGATTCTCTGTTCAGTTCAGAAAAAATAAATTAATTAAATGTCAATGTTTTTAACATTTAAACATAATTAAATGTGATGTTATAAAATTATTATAGCAATAAATGTAATATAATAAAGGTGTATAAAATAATATATTCAATTGTGTAGGATAATTTCTTTTAATTTTGGGATATCATTGTTTTATAATTGTTTTATTTGATGGAAATTAATAATTTACCTTCCCTCCTGTAAATCTTTCAAACTAATAGCGTTACAGAAAACTAATTTTTAGCTATATAAAAGAAAAAATAATAAAACAAGGAGATATATTTTCTCCAGCTTGGTGCAGTCATTTATCAACTTTAACAATGCCTATATCTTTATGTATAAACGTGGAACAAATGTGTACGTGTGTAATGATACAAAAAATTTAGATGATTTAGAAAGGTTTAAAATGATACGAAAGATTTAGATATTTTAATCAATTTCATCTTAAGAAATAATAGATATACAAAAAAAGAGAATATTATTACTGTAGAACTAGCCAGAAACTTCCAAACATGTTTACCCTGGATTAAAGCGATCTAAACCAACCGCGTTTATAACATTCTTTAACCATATACCATACTTTTTCTTTAGCTTCAATTGGAACAGTCGAGTTAATATCGCTAACATCGGGTAGACCAGCGGTAGAATAACCACCTTCCCTACCATGAATAGCAAATACTATGAAGAAGAACGCGTGTAGCATTTCAAAGGGCCCAATTGCGTGGATTTCATCTAAAAACGCCTCGTACGAAAACGGCGTGGTATCGATTCCGTAGGTTTCCAGTACCTGAGTTAAATGCTCGTGGTAATATTCAAGGAAATAATCAAAGTGAGTTTTGATGTGTTCCAATGACACGCTGGTCCACAGGTAGAAAAACAAGTCGATCGCCGGCGATCCGTGCGATAAGATTTGAAAATCCACCATTTTATTGGCTACTGGATCTCCGTTGCTATCGAATTTTTGCATGGTGTTGTTTGTCCACACATCATCGTGAACTAACGTGCTAAATGGTTCTCTAAGTAAAATTCGTTGAGCCCCTTCCCATCTTTCTAATTTCGATACAATCTCTTTAACATCCGGATCTTCGCTGGTGATGATTTTAAAAAGGGGTATGACTTGCGGCATCAGGCCATTTTGTCGATAGAAATCGGTACAAAATGGCAGGAGTTTTTCCTTAAATAAATTAGGTTTCTTGATTTTAATAGCCAATGGTACGCCGTGAAATTGAGCTAGAGATCTGAGGACCATTTTAGTTGTTTCTATATCGAATCCTTTGCGCTTATCGATATTATCGAAACCTAAAATTACAACACCAATCGATTATAATTTTATTTAAAACATAAAACATAGTGAAACAAATTAAAGTTCAAGTACCTACTACATCGTACGATTATGTTAGCACAAACATACTTATTGAAAGAATGAGTGTCAGATTATGGGATAAATTAAAAAATGATATATGTATAAATTATTTTAAACTCACCGCGATGCTTTAAGTTCTCCAAAAGCAACACTGCATCATCATCTATTCGATCGTTATTTTCTAACAGGTTTTTTCTAGCGGCAAAACATTTAGGGAAGCAATCCAGGTAACTTGTAAGTCCTGTAAGTTCTTTCTGAAACTCTGAAACTGTAGGAACTATTATTTTATAGAAGCCCATCTCATTGGTATAGGTGGTTTGCACACGAAACAACTCTCTCATAAGTTCATCATGGGGTAGTACTTTAGCTATAGTGTGCAATGTTTCTTCGGTTTTGTTCTCATTGTTTTCTACAGTAATTTCCAATCCGTAGATGATGCTTCCATAATTTTCACCCGGTTTAGATAACTGACTGGTTTTAACATCTTTAATGGTTGCACTATTTCCCAAATAGCCGCTTAGCAATTCGTCTAATTTTCTAATCTCTTTGCAGGACCAATTCATGTTCGCGCAATATCAGTTTGAATTATTTTAACAAATTTAAGGAACTTTAACCGCTCTACAAAATAAGATAATATTATTGCAATAAATTAAAAGGAATTGTATTACAAAAATTCAGAATTCAATAAACTAACTTGCATAATCTAAATGTACTCACTGTTTCATCAAAATTAAAAACAAAGTTATCAGTTAATAAACCAAAATCGCAACTGTAATAGGAACGAAAAAATAATTCAGAGGCTGGTTCAAATCGCTGGAGATATATACGTATAAAAATATTAGATAATTGTCGACCTTCACATTGACTAACGCAATAATTATATATAGGTATGTACTTTCTTAAGCGTGTGTATGTATTGATAATGAATACACGCTATCTAATGGGAGGTCCTTATCTTTCAAATCATTATTTGCTTATTCACGAGGGAATGACTTTTAATAAAATATTTGACCTTCTCAAAATAATCTATATTATTTCTGTTTATTTCAAAATCTCTGTTTTTGAATGGAAAAAATTACCTACTATCTATGATTTAAAATTTTTGCGTATCTACGAAATATTCAAATGTTGTAGGCTAATAAAGTATTTTAGAGAAAGAAACTTTTAAATTTTACGTAGATTTAAAATATGTTATGAAATAGAGGGTCTCTTTATTTACATTTTTATAGCTTAATAATTTTTCTTAAAATTTTGAAAACTGCTGCATGCCCTCTAAGCGGGATGATTCTAAATAATGTCAATTGATTATTCAATCTTCCCATATCTACCTTACAGTAAAAGATCCATAATATATCCCTAGCCAGGGAACTTCTGTAACGTAAATCAATACTTTTGAAAGTTTCCTGGATACGCGCTAGATGTCAAGCTGCTTCCTTGAAATATGTTTTTATTGCCATTTAGGTCAAAGATAAAACTAAACGCGGTATAGATAAAAATACTTTATTTATCGTCATTTCGCACGGTGCGATATATTGTTGCAATTCATTGATGCAATATTACTTTGCACTTTTTATACAAGCGTTAATAAAAATTATCGTATCGCATACGTTGTGAAAGCTACGCATTTAAACGCTTGTATTTTAACTGCAATGCAATATTGCAACATACATTGCTGCAATATATCGCACCGTGTGAAATGCTCTTATACACTTTCTATGTATATTAAAAAAAAAATAAAAAAAGGCAAGATTTAAGAAACCTTATGAGCTCGTCGTCTTCTAAATTATTAAAATGTTAAGATTTAAGCTCAAATGATAAGCAAATCCCTTTACACATATATCATTAAGTGAAAAGTTGAGTCGGAACAAGATTCTACAACTGCAAGGAACAAGGGATGTGGTAGATGAGTAGAGAATAATTAATGGGACTCACGAAATGGAACAAGGAACTCTCTGACACTTATATTACGTTTAAGACTTTCAGCCTGACCTCCTAGTGGCTCCGCAGGCGATATCATTTCAGGTAACTTCATTAATTAAGAAATATTTTTTGCCGAATTTACAATAGGTATATTGTTATTTGTTGTAGAATATGTAGAGCATAATAATTGTATACAGCGTAACCTAATTTAATGTTATTTATGTAGATTAAGTAAACTGCTCTGTTATATGTTGTTAAGGGAGCAAGTAATGTACACACCAAATTCTCCCGACTAATGTGACTACTAATATGGAATCATGATAAATTAACCCGGTCTTCAACGGCAACATGTTTATTCAGCTATAGCATAAGTAAGTACGTCGATAGCTACACGTAAATTGTTTTGTTAACTGTTTACCAAAATTTAGTGTAAATTAGCTGAACTGCAAAAGAGCAAGAATTTTAATAAACTAACAAACTCCCGTTAATCATACACACGAGAATTTCGAGTAAATCTTTAAGATAAATTAAAAGATAATATTTTCAATATATCTTCCATGTAAGAAAGAAATGTTTGCATTAATATTCAATAAACGTATACCTACAATGTACAAAACGTTTGCACAAGTCGCAGGATTAAACCTGAATTATTACGCCACCCACTTAGAAATGAATAAATAAGAGAGCTATTTTGAGCAAATCCCTTTAATATCGCAGTTGGGAATTCCAATATATGAATAGAAATCGAAAGCTGCGATTGATGTAACAGATTCTTCAACATATAAAGTGAGATTTTTTCCGAATCAAAATCGAAGGGTACGAATAGCAAAGCTTGACTTATTGGTTCAGATTCGGAATAAATATAAGTTATATTTCGAAATATTCTCTCTTTACTATTGCAAAATGTATGCAAGTTTCGTTTGAATCCTAGACGGCGAAATAATTTGGATGTTCCATGCGCATACGTAGAATAATTTATTTGTTAATGGTCCGTACACATCTTCCTCAACTTTCCCAGAAGTTGAAACTTCATTTTCCGGGAGGAGTTGCTGCATCAACATAATATCATTCGTGCATCAGAAGTTCAGTTGAACGGGTTTTATTGCTTCAGAAGCTTTAGGAACGTCGAATTTTATTGTCAGAACAAAAAGCTTTAAGCGTAAGTAAAAAGGTAGTTCGTAAAGTTACAGGTTATTTCATCTCTTTTCAAAAAAAATTTCATTTAGAAATTGTATAGAGTATAATACATATCGTCGTTAATTAATAAAAGTCCTGAAATTACAGAAGCCAGATGGTTTTAATAAGTTTTTTCATCTCATATGAACCTTTTTTGTACTGTAATGCGGAGTAACACGAACTTCTTCCCTTCCCAAAAATGACCCCTGCGTTCATTATACGGCGTTTTCTCTAGAGCACAAAATATAATAACGTCAGATACCTTAACAATAGCGATATCCCTCTGTTCATGATTCCATTAAAAGAGCAATTTCGGCATTCAGTCTCCATTTCCATCCTAAATCTCCTTCAGCGCTTTATGTCTATACTCTCTTTAACTAAAAGGGTTAATACAACTTCGCATTTGTCCTCAAAAGGGTCTCCATTACGCGTGTGTCGGTCTTTTATATAAATATCTTGTATTCATTTCTAATTCCGCTTTTGACTTTGAAATGGAGAAGCGATTCTGCAATATTTAGATAGTTTTGGTCCGAGAGCGGTAAAATGGAAATGAACTAGAAACTTACAAATTACGACCGGAATCGAAAAGCATGCAGGTAATAGAATGTCATCGCGGAAGTTTGATGCTAAGTCGGGCGAATTTAGAATTACGGACTAGGACGAAATCGAAACCAAATCGAAAAATAAATGCAACGTTCAATTTACTCAGTTCAAGCAAACAGGTACCTACAAGAACTTACATATATTTAAATTTTTTTAATTTAATATATTCAAATATTTTTTGATAACTAATTTTATAGTACCTTTACTTTGAATTGATCTAAACCTCTTGAAATATTTCATTACCAAAATTACGATGGTATTAGATATAGTCGTTGAAATTATAACGAATATATTAAAATATATTATTATATCGTTAATAAAACGATATAATACCTTTCGGCGATTCCATAAATACCTATATATCTTTTGTAAATCGTAAAGTTGAGGTATAAATGGGACGTAAAATTTTACGGATAAAATATAATATTTTCATTTTGGATGCGATTCCACGTCAATCCTCTAGTGGCATCCGATGGAAGCTTTGAAGTATGAGAAGATACGATGAGATCGAAATAACGTACATGTAATATACCTACGCAAACTCCTGAATGATCTAATTCCTCAATAGCTAATATTCCCAAGTATTTTACAGGGTCTAATCCCTAGATTACGTTTGCAGGGTCGAATTTCGTCCAAAAGTAATTCGGAAAGGTTCTTTATATTTTACCCAAACGTTTGATAAATAATTACACTTTTGTTATCGAATGCCGGTGGTTTTTACCCGATATCCTAAATTTTTCAGCTATTTGCGGCGATCTGTACATTCTGTGTATGCTTGAGCTCTGCCACACTCAACAGAAAATTTAATAAACCTGTTTTATTTTTCAATATCTTTCATCGATAAATTTTGCTCGAAGAAGCGCGAACTGAATTTGAAATTCCCTAAATGCGAAGAGTCACTTTTATAGTTATTCTATCGAAGTGGAAAACAGTGAGTAGGAGTCGCAACGAAATTTTTTCAATTACTTTTCCCTGATGCTCTCGTTGAAGTTTAGTGCTAGGAATTACGTCGTTTCGAATTCAATTGTTTTTTTTATTTAAATTGTTGCACCAGATTGATTCAAAGGGAATAACGATCAGTGAATGCAAGCAATTTACCTAATTAAGCGTATGTGCCAGAAACAAAGGAACTCGAAACCACTAGAAATTAATTGTGGTGTAATAATTAACTACAAATATTACAAATTAATATTTCAGAAAGCAATTAAATTTAGTATTGAGTTATTATACGACTTACACATACAGACATAAATGCAAAATTGTTTGCAATGTGCTGGTCAAATCTATAAGTTGAACAAAGAACTCTTTCTTTTTCCTTTACATGAGACTGGGTATGCAAGCCATTATTTAATCAAGGATCAAGTATACTTGCTTAGAATTTTTTATTTTTCTAATGTAGTTATTCGACTTTTCGTACAGTGCTGCTCTCCTTAATACGACGTTGCCATATGTCAATTATGGGGAAAAGGACTTATTGGATATAGTAATTTATTTTGAGAAACGATTACGTGTTTGTCCGATATTACAAGAACGTATTATAAAGAAATTCTTGCACTCAATTTAGCGGTTTTGTCACGTCCGTCGGTGGCAGAAGTTTAGTTTAGACTAACCTAACGTCTTTTAGATAACGGACGGGGAAAAACAGAATTTCGTATCCGAATCGAAGGAGGGAGCAATTTTTTACTTTTTAGTTTCCTTCCAGTTGGCACGTCGCTGTTTGAAATTCCTCCTAATGGGGAATCGATAAAATTTTTTAAGTAACAAATGATCATTGGATATAACTCCTTACATTAATATTCGTTTTTATATTCTAAAATAAATTATATACTGCAATAATAAAGCAACTTGATAGAATTTTATACGCTATATTGACATAGAACATTTTTGATCTATACATTAAACAATCTTTTATACACAACATATAAATATTTTTATATTACAGTTAGAAGCATCTTTTCCCCGTTTATAAAGATTCTTTCAAGAATCGTTTACATATAGCTACTTAATAGTAAATGTATCACATGGTCAGTGCATAGCATTTTATAGGATAGGCCTCATAATATGACAGTTCTATAAAATTCCTTACATCAAATAAAAATTGGAAATGAATGAATTCCGACTACTAATCTAAATTGGGATACTTAAACTAGAACCATATATGTAGGTACAGAAACAACTGTACTTAATTACATTTAATATAAGAATCTATAAAATACTTGACACTCTTTTTAAAGCGGAACATTACAGAAATACAGAGGATTATTTTGCAATTCACTCTACAGATTTTTCTCATTTGAAATCAGAGATTTAACGAGAAGGAATTTTAGTTGATTTTACAATGAAAGAGCGAATAGAACGGCTGTGCAAATCTCCCGTATTATTATTTAATTTTCTCTTACTAAAGATTTTAGCGTTCATAAACAGTCTATAGAATGAAGTGAAGTGGAATTGTATCAAATTGTATGTATTTATTTATAAACTACCATTATTTTATACGAACTTCCCAATTTTAGAATAGTTTCATTTATTACTTAATTAAGTATTCGCCTTATTTACAAAAAAAAAGAGGAACAACTGTACAAATACTAGTATAAAATTTAAAGGAATGAAATTTAATTTAATAATGAGATATGTCATTTAATAATGATATATCAATACAAATTACCTACAATCTGATATAAAATATATTATCTAATAACAAAAATACTTCGTAATATAATCGATGAAATTAATTAATATTTTTAATGAAAGTGTGTAAGCTTTTTGATCTTTTAAGTAAAGTATATCATGTAACAAAATCGAGCAATCTATTATATTATCAATGAAATTAATTGTTTTTAACGTAAGAATGCGAGATCTTGTGTAAATATACGTAAAGATATCCGTATAGATATTTATTTTATATACACTTGTGAGTACTTTACAATATATTATAGTAATATTAAATTGTGAAAATTATAGGCATACTTACTCTATTGAAGTTCATACCAATTTTAATATCTATGTATTATATGAATGTGCACATATTTTATGTATCTAACTATTTTATGTTTTATGTTTAAAAAAATATAGTCAACAAAAAATTCCTAAAAGGTAATTGACAGATATAATCCAATAATAATTTGTAATAAAAAAATTAAAGGAATATAAAAAATATTAGCTTTATATACATAAGTTACCTACGTACCTACCAACAATAATTTACCATATTTTTTCCTAAAAATATTCTAAAAATAAACAGTTTGAAAAAGACAACATAGTTACTTGAGATTTTTCTATAGATACTTTTTAACTAAACGACGTGTGATCATGCAAATTCAATTTGTTTCAACCACCTTATATTACACATTTAATACTCTACCTGTCTTTCTGAAACACCCTGTATGATCGCTTTAAATCCATATACATACTTACAAATAATAGTTTCATTCAGAACAGTATTCCAACAATTTAATAACTCTTTGGCACCAATAAGATTAATTTTATTAGCGAACTATTCAACATGCAGGGAACATTCAGTAAATAACACAAATTGGCCTCAAGTCTTGAAGATATTTTAGACAGTTAATAAAACTTCAAGAGTCAAGCATAGATTTAATTATACAAACATTTATCTGAAAATACTAATTTTAGTGATTTATTGTGATATGTCAAAATAATGGGTATTGCTGGCAATAAAATTTCTGAAATTATAAAAAAAGACCAATAACATTTTCTTAGAATGACAGTAATATTGGAAGCTATGTTTAATATATGTACTATGTTATGTTCCTACGTATATAATTTGAAATAAATAACCAGCAAATGTGAAAAATATGTTGATGATCATGATTGATCAAAAAATTTATACGAAAGATTGTTTATACTTGTATCTTTTATTTCATATTGAAATCAGTATTCCTTTTTTCATTTATAATACAAATGTATACAAAATATGTGCAAAATAATTCAGTCTTCAAAGAATGCAATTTAATTTACGTGTCATAAAAATAATATTTCTAACACTATCTACTATGTTTTTGATAATACTATTATCTGGAGATCATATTTATTTGTGATATTAAGGTTCTGATATATTATAAGTTTGCCGACTGGTGCTTTTTTATGCTAATACGTAGCGAGAGAGATATTCAATTGAATTTTAGAATGTATCGGATCTTTGATTGCTTAGCATTATTTTCCTTATTCTAAGGTAGTCAAACTTTCATTATAAAGATACAAAATAATGATATGAGCTGAAGAAACATCCCTATCGCTACAACAAAGAGCAATAAATAAGTTTAAAACTAGCAAACTTATTACAAGAGATCAACACACGTTGTCACTCTAGTTTGCTTGATCTTTACTTGTCATCTGTGCGGCCTCCAGGTAGTTTTCCTGTAACGGCACAACAAAACTTTCTTGAACGCCTGCCTGAACACCTTATTGAATATCGTGTAAAAAATTGGATTCACCATGGAACTGGCGTATCCCAGCCAAGTTACCAATTGCACCATCCAGTTCTCCATATTTTTATCGCACTCCGAGCAGAACATCGGCACTAAATTTAGTATGAAAAAAGGCGCCCATAAGATAACGAACGTGAAAAACACGACTCCCAGAACCTTCGTGGCCTTCTGCTCCAGGCGGATAATTCTACCGTGCCTGGAGGAATTCCGCGAAATAACGCTCGAGTTCCTGCTGTGGTGCGACCTGATGCTCCTGGCCCCCGAACTGTTGTAATTGTACCTTTGGAGCAAACAGGGCGACGACGGGTTCTTCTTATTCGCCAAGCCGCTGCTGGTGCTGTGCCCGTTGTGGCGCAGAGTGGCCGATCGGCGCAGCAGCAGCGGAGTTCTGTGCGTACTCGCCAACGAAGTGCACAGAATCGAGGTTTTAGTCGTACCGAAACTCGAACCTGTAAAACCAGAAGTTTATCCTAAAGGCGTCGTCCCTGTTAAATCCTCGATAATTATTTTCAACAGGAACACCTAGGCGAAATTTCAACCTCTTTTTTTTGAAACATTTTCAAACAAAAACCAAGCACGAATTCCACACAATAATAAAACCTTTTCTAAATCAGAGACCAAATAAAATGCACTCGTCACAGTACTGGATACATCTCCAGAACAGAAACTTCTTGCACTCCGCTCATTCCTCACTGTAAATAAAAAACATAGTGCCTTAAAGAAGATGTCTACTCACCTCTTCGATGGCTTCTTCTGGGTTCCCAAGTAACGACAGCATTATTCGGCGAAGACTCCCCGCTGTTGCCCCTGTTCCTCGCCAATGAAGACTTCTTCGCCGGAGAAACGTTCAACAGGTGCATGTTCTCGGCGTTCAAGGGAGTAGGTGACGATCGCAGGGAACCACCGGGCGTTACTTTCAAATCAGAAGGAGTAGGTGATTTGTCGGGTTTGTTGCCGAAGTACGGGCAGGTGCAAGGCGGCGGCAGAGGGTACTCGCTCTCGGCGGGTTCGTTCTTGTTTTCCGCGATGGAAAAGTTGCTCGGATGGCGGTTGTCTTGGTAGCTGGCCCTGCGCTTGCGCCATTTGGGCGACGGGTACTCGTCCTTGGTGTCGCCCTCGTGGAATGTGGAGGCTCTGCGTCGTCTAAACTGCCATGGGGAAAGTTCGGTGCTCAGTATAGATGAATTCGAATCGGTTAGCGTTTCGATACTTCTGTTCGAAGAGCTGCAATAAAATAATTATGCATAATTCGCCGCAATAATTCAATATTAAACTAGTGCGAATATCGAACACGGATCGTGACATCTGAATAGGTGACTAATCAGACTCCGCTTACAAAATGAAATACCTGCTGAAATATAGGTAATATTAGGTAGCAAAATCGATGACTTCGAGCAGTATCTGAAACTTCCGACAGCCATAAATAAGGTGCCCCATGTCGACTGAAATTAATATAATTTCGGTCGATTCAGTAGGGTAAATGAAGCAAAGCTAATTCGAATTGAGACACCAACTGCTTCCCAGATTCTATTACAGTGGTCCGGTCGATTCAAAATTAACTGGATGATAGTAGAAATATTTTAAAGCCGCTTGAAGAATTATTGCAAAAATCGAATGTACCTACTGTTATTGTTATAACTTGGTTAATAATTTTATACACTTCCGTATTTTACTAAACATGGGTTAAAAACAAGAAATTAAAGAGGTTGGTAGTGTAATTAAAACGACATGACAATAGAAGGAAGAGGCTTTTGTATTTGCTCCATGGATTTAATTAAAGGTTTTACTCCTCATTATTTCAAAACATGGCACGTTCTTCAAACAAACTTCCCCTTCTACAAAATTATCAACTTTTTCGATAGAAAGTGAAAATATTTATTTAGCTCTCGTTAAAATATGAGAGGAAGTAATATCGGCAGTATATAACCCAATAAGTTAATGGGAAACGGTTAAATGAAATCGGAAAAAATGTTTCCTACGAAACTGCTTCTCCAAGTCGATATTTTCTTTAGGACTTTTATTAGATTTTAGTTCCGAATAGCTTTCGAAATGGGGCAATAAAAGAACGACAGTTATCAAAGATGCACACACCTTGAGACCTTCCCAAATGTTATTATCTCCAATAGAGTGGAATTGAAAGGCGATTTAAACGCAAACACTAGCAATTCGAAATAATTTAATGAATCATATCTGCTGGATTCTGATAGGTTGGTAATAGGAAATGTAACATATAAGCATTCCTAAATATAGGTATGTAAATGAATGTTTGTAGCAGGAAAATTTTCCTCTCTATTTTAGAATTCTTTATAATAATTATAAGTACATGTAAATAAGGGGAGTTTTATGTGAGTACTAAACAGAAGGTATGGTTTGTTGGAGGAATTTACATAATTTTCCAATGAATATACTAATAAGAAAGTAATAAAAACGATGCCTGGTCTAGACAGAGTTGGCAAGGGCTCGGCATCAAGGGTCGGTTGTTTGCATTAGAATCAATCAAAATTTAATGGATGAAAAATGACTTGCTTATTTTCTATCACCTTTAAGGATAAACGAACTTCATAGTCAATATTATCATATCAAAAAAAATCAAATAAGAAAAACTATATTTCGCCAGGAATAAAATATTTTTTCAACTCATCGGGTTTCCTTTAAATTAAATTGAAATTCCGAAGCGTATTTTGAAACAAAATATGCTAACGAAGTAAAGTCAAATACATCAGCGTCACTCATATCGCGTAAAATCCTCCCGTCTACCCGTCATTTTAAGTTTAGCCATTAAATGTCTCCATCAGCGTGGGTGTTATATTACCACCTAAACTTAATTAATCCAGCCCCGAATCAGATGCTAATTCAAGAAAACTTTTATAGGTACCTATCTCGCGTAATTTAAGCCAGACTGAACCGAACGCATAAAAAATCCCAACACCCAGGTATACAAATTCAATAGATTTCCATCTAAGTTTTCATACTTACTCGCGCTTGAAGGAGTTGTCCTTCGGGGACAGCCGGGCGTTGCTTTTCTCCGGCGTGCTGGTGAAGCTGTTGGACGCCGCCTCCAGTCCCCTGGACAGCTTCAGCATCTCGGCGCCGAACTGGCCCAGCGCCGACATGGTGCAAGGCTTCGGCTCGGACTCCTGTATCCACAGCTCGTGGGTGTCCAGCGTGGTCAGCTCGGTGTCCGTGGAGGTTGCCGAATGGGCGTGCTGGGGCGTCGATAGCCTGGAGCCCGGTTTCGGGGGATTCAGAAACCGGCGCCACGTGCACTTCCGCTCTGAAACGAACCGATGGATTACGATCGACCGGTGGATTTTTTGCGGTGTTCCGATTTAAAAATCGCCCGTCCACTGCGAACTATAAACGTCGATCAATCGTGTAATCAACTAATCTGAACTGGGATTAGTTGTCGACGCTCCGGTGGGCAGAGCACTTGTTTCTCCGAGTTGAGGGAAACCGGGAAATTAACAAGGAAAAGAGCAAATACTTTTGCGACGAAAGGGAGCGAAAAAACAGTAATGAGAAAGGGACCGATTGGACGAAGGATCGTAATCAAGAGTGATCAAGTAGGGACGAAAAACAAATGAAGGATTTTATAACCGTAATTTAGGAAGTATATATAGCATCCGGAATGGATCGTAATTTATATATAAAAGGAAAGTTAATTTTAAGGTGTTTTATTTAAGGCGATTATTAAATTTTTTCACAAAGTGCACGTCGTAATTTATATACATTGTTGTATACCATAAAAATTTATAAATATAAAAATTCCTCAACTTTTTGAGAATTCTGATATATACTCGTGGATGAATTTTTGTTTCGACGCTTTACTCGGGGAATAAATATATAGGTACTTTGTGAAAAAGATGGAAATAAAATTTTCTCCGTAAAGCCGTTTTATTCCCTTTTGTACATCTACATAAACACGCCTTAAAGCTTTCTAAGCCCAGGATCGCCTTGAAAAGAGGTTTTTAAAGTTTCAGGCACCCAGAAAATATTTACTCTCGTAATGCCCAGTATGGTCTGAAAAATTGGGTGCAGTTCTGCTATTTTCAAATACTCTACAAGCCGTTAAATTACTTTAATAAATCAGCTGCATGACTCGTGTTTTAGTGTTGTATGAAATTGATTTTCAGGTAGATGTCAGATAAAAATATTCGAACAAGTACAACAAAAATGTCAATTTTACGGAAATTACCTCCATGTATATTGAATTATGTCGACATAAGCTTGCTTTATGTAACTTTTACGAAGTAAGAGCGAAAATGATACTTCATAAAATTGCAGTTACGAACTTCGAACAGTTATTGACGAGTAGTTAAAATTAACTGGTAACTTTGTTAAGATACGTAACTGGATATTTGTACACAGTGTAATCGTGCATTTTTCATAAAGCAGAAAAATTTCAATTTTAGGATTAGTGTTTTCTAAAAATAGAAATATTTCTGAATAGTAAATCTATTTAGTTTTAACGTATAACGATGGCTTAACAGAATTCTAAAGGAAGAGACATTATACAAGTTATAGGAGCGAATAACAAAAAAGTCCTTTTAGGTTAAGAAAATGTTGCCTGAAACGGGTTATCAATTTTTTAGATCCTAATTCGACGTTCGGGGTGCTTTAGCGTTTTATTTCATCTTCCAAATTCGTTTCCATCATCTCTTCTCGAACGTTTGCGCATTGTATTAAGGTTATCAGAGACGGAGCGACGAAAAGTTTGCAAAGTAAAATGAAAATTAAACCGCCGTAAAATTAGTAATTAACCAATTAAGAGTCTCCTATTATATCAAGTTTTTGCAATGGTTACTGCGGAGGCGGTTTAAAGTCGTATACATTCTAAAAACTGTTAAAACAATCATAATGCCTTTCTGACAGATTTTGTGCATTCAGTTAATTTAACGACTTAAAAGTTTTTGATAGCAAATAAAAAACAACAGACTTCGTATCTCATTATTTTGTTACAGACGCAAGATCCAAATAGCGTTTTTAAATCCATGTTTCCGTAATTAGCGAAAAACCTTTTTATGTAAATTTGCGCGACCGAGATTCTCTTTCATTGCCGCGCGTACACATCCCTAATGTAAACGAAATTAATGAATATTTTAACCCATAATTCTGAGCAATCTATCTCAATTAGCAATTTTCTTACCTTTGAACGGGGAAATATCTCACCTGCTTTAAAATTAATTTCCTTCTGTTTACACTTAGCGAGAACATACTAAAGATATTGTAAATAATTCGTTAAGTTATACCTTAGTCAGAGAACTTATAGGAACTTATAGAAACAAGAATAATTTATAGGGTATGCTAAAATATTTAATCATTGAATGACATTAGATAAATTAAAAATTGACTACTATAGCTCGACCTAGATCAAAATAAAACTAGATACAGATTGAAATAAGTAACTGGAGACTCCAAGGTCAAATGGTTTATTTTTCTTAGAATTTGGTCGTCAATTTTAGGTGTAGCTTGATCGAATTTGCAACTTCTGCCATTTCTGTCGATTCATAGGTATATAAATTACAAATTTCACACTCACCTAGCGCAGTAGTTGTCGCTCCCGCGCCTCCTATCCAATTATTCGACCAGTCCGGCGTGCCCAAACTTTGTTTTTGATTAGCGAGCAGTCTCACTGTAAGTGCATACGTGACTAACATCACCAACAGCGGTATATAAAAACATATAATCGATCCGATGAACTTGTAAAGCGGATCCGGAATTTGGCAGATCCCATCAATTATTAAGGAGCCCTGATCCTGCAAGAGAAAGGACGCATTAAAGTCGAATTGTTTCCGAAGCTGGAGATGATGATTTTAGCTTATTTGTTTTATAAGAGCTGTGGGAATGCTTGCTTTAATCATGCACGGTGCAAGTCGAGTTTGCCTCTCGATAAGTTTTATAATATTGTGTCTACGAATAAAGTAGAGGATCTAATTAATTTTATGTTGTTAAGATCATTAGTCGTTGGGAGTGTCTATTGTATTTCTTTTTTATTTTAAGAAGTTTCCTTATTATACGAGAAAAAGTCTGTATAATTACAGTCATTAGAAGGAAATATATTTTGCTTTTCAGTCGAAGATATTAATGGATTATTGTCAATCAATACAGTAATTAATTATATACATTATTAATGAGGTATAAATTTCCTAAAATCGAATAAATGAGTAGTAAAATAAATAATAATTTACTTTTGAGTACATCAAGCTAAGCGGTAGACTCATTGCTATAGATAGCAACCATACGAAGACGATTTTCAGGATGACCCTCCTTCTCGATTTGTTTCGACCGAATTTCATTGGGTATCTGAGCGATAGATATCGATCCACGCTGATTGTACATAGATGCATAATGGAGGCCGTGCAGAAAAGGACGTCCAGGCAAATCCACGTCAGGCAGTAAATGGTCGGTAGAGTGAAACCCCCTGGAACAAAAGAATCGATTTGAAGTGCACAGTAGGAACAAAACGTTTCGAATTTCAAATTTGTTATTGACAGGCACTCTTTTACATCGAGCTGAAAATGGGAGTAATTTTCAGGCAATACGAGCACTTACAGTAGGTGGCTGTATTTAGTAGGTTTAAAAAGCGAGAGAAAAATTTACAAAAAATTGTGTCACGCAGTTTTATTATATTCCTTACAGCTGATACAAATTAAATTTTAAAATGACACGACTTAAAATTTACTTAGGACCGAGGTTCGTTAGATGTCTTGTATAAGGATTATTTAAATTATTTAAACATCCCCGTTCCGTCGGAGCAATGGCGACATATCCATTTCACGTCCAATTATTTTTTTTAATGAAACTCCAAAAATGGCCTATCCTTGATCGGCTTTTTTCGCATGCGATTTGTTTAATTATTTCGCTCGTTCTCTCGTTCGCAAATTAACCCGATAACAATTTACTTTGAAATTTCGCGTAATTTTATTGCGAGGGATAGGTGTATTTTTTTATTATATTTAATCATACTAACGAGTAATGTGAGTATGGGCTCGCAAAAATAACATTACAAGCGATTATTAAAATTTTAATTTTAAGTAGGTTGGTGGTGCAACATAAATTTTATCCTTCGTATAGTTGCGATGTAAATTTTATTGGTAGATCGTTAAATTTTCGGTTTATGGCTTGCTATATAAAGAACGTTTTGAGGAAATTAGTAGCTTAGCAAAGCAATTTTACGATTTTTCCTGCTACTTTTTTGTAGTAATTCACTCAGCGTTTTCTGGAGGACTTGATTATACACCATTATACAGTTTGAAATCGCCTTTACTCCTGAAAACCTATATTTTGTTCCATTTAGAGAAATTCAATTTAAAATTAAAAAATATGTTTAAAGCACAACTATCTACCTAGGTAATAATATTAACAAGTAATTCTACATTATTAATGAGAGCAACAACTCGAATTTCCATATTTAAATCGCATAAATTTTAAACAATAGATACAATATATGGGTTTATTGAAACATTATTTAAACGAACAAGATATACATAAAATAAATATGATCCAGAATTGAATTTATTAATTCACATTCAAATAAAAAATATAGCTACCTAATACCTTAAATATTATTTTGAAATACTTTATATTTCACAATCATTTACAAAATTGATCAATTTGTATTCGAAACATTTTTTGGAAGTAGAATTTACATCAGATAAATTTCATTTTTGTAGTCATTGTTCGAACAATGTGAAAGATATTTAAACTGGTCCACAGATAAAGAAACACTCTATTGTCTGAATTTAATTTAAAACGAGCAGTTGAAAAGCTCTCGAATTTTATTAACCTCCAAATTTAATTTCTTTATTTTTCACGTGACTCGTATAATTTTCAAATTTATATTCCGTCAATTTCAGCGATCCCGACAAAATTTCTTAATGTTTAACAAGGCAAATGTAAATCCGAAAATACGGGAAAACTTTCTAAGTTTATTTAAAAACGACACTTTTGCACGGAAAACAATTTTGCCGGAAAGGCCAAACAGGAAAAACGAATTTCAGGAAGACTAATATTGATGCTATTTTAATTGAAAAAGTATTTGAAGAAGTATTTCTATAGAAATTAGAAATACAACATATTTGTACCTAATAGAAAAGAATATATCTGTAAACATAATTTCCCAGAAAATTATAGGATATTTGTGTTTATAAGTTAGTAATGGACAATTAAAAGTATGCTCTTAATAATAAATAAACTTTCTGTTCATTAATAAATGCTTGTTCAGTACCAATGGGTAGTTAAAGGGTTGTAATTAAATTGAAATAAGGGTTGTATTAAAATTTTATTGGTTTGTGAAGAAAAACTGCATAAAACTTTATTTTCTACGACATGACAACAAATCGAAATAAATTATTCCATAAATAGTGAAGCCGTTAATATCTCATTCATCAAGATTTATGGGGCAGTAACAGGGTCTACAACTGAATTTATGTTTCTAAATTAGTAAATTATAGTGCGGCGTAATCAAAGCTTTCTCGCCCTCGAATCGTTATATATAGACGATAACGGGCAACTATAGCCAGTTTTCCTGTTTTTTATCGAATTCCACCCGCTAGGAAAACACACCAATGTTCCGAACTCCATAATTTTAATAAAGACTAAAATTCCTGCCATTCCGAATGGCCTTCAAAAAAACCTTTAATGATTGTCTTTGTTATATCTGATTCTCTTTGTTACGTCGTTCTCTATCGACCCCGCTCCGCCGACTCAGGATCAACTTTACACCAAGTCCCCAGCACTTTAGCAGCAATAATACCACTTCTTCGGATTTTATTGCGAACTTACAGTACATTTTCAGCGAAGGAGTTTTATATAGAAAAGCTCCTTTTTCCATTACAATACGATACACTCCACATTTTTAATAATCCGCAATTAAATAGGTCACAAATATCACGTTTTCATCGTCGGATACTTCGGACGGATATTTCATCGTCCTTAAGGTGCTTTAAGAAGTAGGCCCTGCAACAGCCTTCCTGTTCCTGTTCCGGCATAATTCGGCGCGCGTCATCGGCATCTCGAAGCGATCGAAATAGCCTTCTACGTGGCATAACTACGTAGTACACACTCTCTGACGATGTTTTTAAGGTTAAGGGCGATACGGCAGAACCCTTTTCCCGCGCCCTTCGCATTGTACCGCTGGAAAATGAAACAGCTGACGCGGATGAAAAGCTGAGCATTGAGATCGAAGCGAGAGAGCGAGCGAAAACCGATCGGATTTTTATCGGCGTTGTTCTCAAGAACCGCTGAATGCGGCTCGCCTCGAAGCATCTGCACCAGGATTCGGTGTTTAATCAAAAGACTAGGAGTCGCGATAGCGGCGGTTTGCGCGTGAAAGTACGTTTTTTGCTAGTCGCAATTATACTTGCGGTGCATTATGAACCGCCGGGAAATTTACGACACGGGTGTATTGAATGGTTGTATTGCGTTTTTTCGCTTAACTGGCCTTTGTAAATTATTATTCGTTTCCGTCGGCACTTCTGCGCTTTAAGTATTGTTGGGAAACTGCTGAAAAGGGAAGTTTCCTAACTGTGATTAGTTAGAAAGTTTGCGGCTCAAATTCAAAAAGTACTTTGGTATTTTACGTAACTGGCACGTCAATAATCCTATCAGAAGAAGGATTTTTTCTAAAAGCCCTACCGCATTCGCTAGACTGAGCTTTACACGGGAATTAATGGCTATAGTTAATCAATAATTTTATAATTAAATTGCAAGAGAGTTCAATATTTCTCTTGTCTTCCGGAAAATGTAATAAGAAAAAATTTTACTCGCTTCGGCTCTGCAGAAATCCACGCCTAAAACTCTGTTTTTCCATCTCTGAAGAAATTCACTTTTCCATTACTTATTTAACTTGTTTTTACTGCCTCCTAAATTGATTTGGCCTGAATTGATCTCTTATGTATTTTCGCAGAACTGGATGGATGATAAACGGCGAAAAAATTTTTAAATTACGTTTTATTTAAATTTCACCGGGAGCCGGCGTTTTTCTAAACGGAAGTAGATAAATCATTGTAAACTTTTAAAGGTATTTAACGACTTATATAATTATATTTCTGAGAAAAAAAACCATTCACGTAATAAATCCAGACATATGTATATTTTTAAAATTATTTGAAAGCGTTAAAAAGCCTACAATATGTGAGACATAAAAAATGTTATTTCATCCAATGAGACTCCAATAAAACTTATCATAAAATTTACCCAATTTTACAGAATTTTTTTATCATTAGAAAAAACTGACTTAATGGCCAATTTAGGACACACGATATGTAACGTTAATATTTACATTACATTACGGTTGTAAATATTATTTGACCATACCCAAAATTTCGTTGTCAATTAAGAGGGGTATTTCTGAAGCATGACTAATATTAATTCCACAATGAAAGAAATTGATGGCTATACGAATATGAATTAAAAAAGCAGGGGAAATTTATAAATTATTAATCACCAATAGCTAAAAGTAATGTCGGTTCTTTTCGAATTTTACAACGAGTCGAAATGAAAACAAATATTTACTTCCTCCTTTGTAAATAAATTATCCACGTTCCTCATCTAAAATCGATTCTTTTATTACTTAACCTTTTATAAAAAGCATATTCTCTATGATTATGATGTATTCAATTATTGGCTTCGGAATTTCCGAAAAAATTTCAAATTTTCGTTCTTATTTAAATCCGCAATCACTTAGTTGCCAATCAATACAACAGGATGAGTTCTGCATCCCAATCATAATAAATGGCTGGTATTTTCAATTTTAAATGCCTTGGAAATTGAGTTGAAAGAAAAGCGATTGCATTTTGAGGAAATTTATCTGAAATGGATGGAAATGAAAATTCTGCGAAGATGCACATAAGTTGCAAAAAATTCTCTCTGAAATCTGTTAAATCTACGATTCGACGTTGGCAAACTAATAATTTCCTTAAACGAGAGGAAATGAATAAGAACGATGAAATGCACTCAAAGAATCAAGTTTGCGAAACAATTTAGAGCACAAATATTCTGCGGATATTACGAAGTGATGAAGTAGTTGAGAGAAGTCAAATATAAATGTGTAATAATGTAAAATAAGATTTTAAGCGAAAAAAAAGTCATAAGGAAATTTACTGCCTCTAGAATCTACGATCAGATTGTATTAGCTACTCATATCTCCCATATAAATGCATTCTTCAGTTCAAATTTATCTAAATCTCTACTCGTGCTTCATATGCATTCGTCGAATATTTATTGCCCATACGTACGGACAACTTTTAAATATTCCCTAAAGTTACAAAACTTTTGTTTCGTATATAAATGAATTTTTTCGTGAAACCCGATTTTTGCGAATTCGGTTGAAAAGTTTCTTCGGAATTTTCGCCGTATGGGAAATATGTGCAATTTTCGAACCGGCTGAATTTTACAAAAGTAATTTGCAGGGATTTAATT